CAGCCACTTTGCTGAAGTTATTTATCAGGTTTAGGAGTTCTCTGGTGGAAGTTTTGGGGTCACCTAAGTATACTATCATATCATCTGCAAATAGCGATATTTTGACTTCTTCCTTTCCTATTTGTATCCCTTTGACTTCTTTTTGTTGTCTAATTGCTCTGGCTAAGACTTCCAGTACTATATTGAATAGGTATGGGGAGAGTGGGCAGCCTTGTCTAGTCCCTGATCTTAGTGGGATTGCTTCAAGTTTCTCTCCATTTAGCTTGATGTTGGCTACTGGTTTGCTGTAAATTGCTTTTACTATGTTTAGGTATGGGCCTTGAATTCCTGATCTTTCCAAGACTTTTATCATGAAGGGATGTTGAATTTTGTCAAATGCTTTCTCAGCATCTACTGAGATGATCATGTGGTTTTTTTCTTTAAGTTTGTTTATATAGTGGATTACATTGATGGATTTTCGAATATTGAACCATCCCTGCATTCCTGGGATAAAGTGCACTTGATCATGATGGATGATTGTTTTGATGTGGTCTTGGATTCGGCTTGCTAGAATTTTATTGAGTATTTTTGCATCGATGTTCATAAGGGAGATTGGTCTGAAGTTCTCTTTCTTTGTCGGGTCCTTGTGGGGTTTGGGTATGAGTGTAATTGTAGCTTCATAGAACGAATTGGGTAGTGTTCCTTCTGTCTCTATTTTGTCGAATAGTTTGAAGAGAATTGGTATTAGGTCTTCCTTGAAGGTCTGATAGAATTCAGCACTAAAACCATCTGGTCCTGGGCTTTTTTTAGTGGGGAGACTTTTAATGACTGCTGCTATTTCCTGAGGGGTTATGGGACTATTTAGATGGTTTATCTGCTCCTGGTTTAACTGCATTTGAGATTCTCTCTTCTATCTCTTGTATTCGGTTGGTGATGCTTGCGTCTATGACTCCTGATCTCTTTCTTAGGTTTTCTATCTCCATGGTTGTCTCCCTTTGAACTTTCTTTATTGTTTCTATTTCCAGTTTCAGATCCTGAATGTTTTTGTTTAATTCCTTCTTTGTGTTTTCTTGCATTTCTTTAAGGGATTTCTGTGATTCCTCTTTAAGGGCTTCTATCTGTTTACTTGTACTCTCCTGTATTTCTTTAAGGGAGTTACTTAATTCCTTCTTATAATCCTCTATCATCATCATGAGAAGTGATTTAAATTCTGAATCCTGCTTTTCAGGTGTGATGGGGTGTTCAGGGCTTGCTATATTGGGAGAACTGGGCACTGATGATGCCAAGAAACTTTGGTTTCTGTTGCTTATCTTCTTGCGCTTGCCTTTCACCATCTCGTTAACTCTAGTGTTACCGGCCCTCACTGTGTAAGACTGGCGTCTGTATTTCCAGTTATCTTCCTTATTGCAGAGCTCCTCAGAGTCCAGATGTCTCTGTGGTCTTATGCTCCTAATCTCCTGGGTGGAAGAACTCCTGGGACTCAGGCCACCTCTTGGATCTGGAAATCCTTCTGCTCTGAGTGCAGTGGCTCCTCGATGACTCAGGATTCAGTTTCTCCACAGGACAGGAGCAGACCGACTCTGTGTCTGCTCCAGCCCAAAGGACCAGGCAGGGGCGGAAGGGAAGTGGAATTCCATTTGTATTGATTTTTAAAGAGTTCTTTGTATAGTAAAGATAGTGGACATTTGTTTTTGATAGATAATGCAGATATTCTTTGCCAGCCATCTTTTGAATTTGTTTCTAGTATGTTTCTCTGTTTGTTTGATTTGCGTTATGTCTAATAGAAAGGTTCCCTCTAAAGCCCTGATTGACGGTTTTATGGGAAGATAGGGCTCAATAATAGACAAGAACCCTTGCTGCTTGGTTTTTCTTTTTCTATTTTTTTTAAAGACAGGGTCTCACAGTGTAGCACTGGCTGTCTGGATCTGTCTGCCTCTGTCTTCTGAGTGCTGGGATTAAAGGTGTGTGCTACCATGCTGGCATTGTGTTTTGTGTTTTGTTTTGTTTTGTTTTTTTCCAGTGTGAGACTTTCATTCCTGGTCTCTTCTTTTTCTACTGTCCTAGTTTTGTCTTCTGTTGCTATGACAAACACTGTGATCAAAAGCACCTTGGGAGGAAAGTTTATTTCAGCTCACAGGTTACAGTCCTTCACTGAAGGAAGCCACGGCAGGGACTTGACATGGGAATCTTAGAAATGCTGCAGCTGGGCTTGCAAAGTGACCCTTCTCACTCCTGCCCAGTGACAGCAGCACCCACAGTGGGCTGGACCTTCCTGCATCAGTCAGCCGTTAAGAAAACTCATGACAGCCATGGCACAGGCCAGCCTGATCTGAGCAGTTCTTCCCAGGTGGCTCTAGGTTGACCGGTTGAAGCTAACTGTTGACACTCACTACCTTAGTCAGTCTCTTATTTTCCTGCTCTAGGATCAGTTTCTAAGCAGGTTAAGCATGTGGAACAGACTGTATTCTGGGCTTGCTGACTGCCCTCCCTACCCAAATTGTGAAGCATTGTTTCCCCCAAGGAACTCGCTCTTGTGTAGGAGTGACTTATAGAAACCACTGGTTTTCAAACAATTGGAGCCTGAATGCCTGTGTAGAGTCCCTGTAGCCATACATTTCCGTTTCACGCATCGTTGTTAGGGAAATCACAGGCAGCCTTGCTCTCCATGTTGGTCTTTGAGAATTAGGAAGCAAGACTTGGCAACCTCAGCAAATCCTGTCAAGTCCTTCCTGTATTTTCTCTGCTGACTTATCTCAAGCTCTTCTACTTCTCCTGTCTGAAGTTTTATTTGCTCTTAAGTTTAGTAAGTTGAGAAGTGGAGAGAGGCAAGGACAGCCAGTGCTCTTAGCTGCTGAGCCGTCTTTCCAGCCCCAATACATAAGCCCTTTTAAAGTTTGGAATGGTGTGTTTCACTTAGGGAAGAAGAATTCCTGAATGTGTAGTGTAGGAACTCTTCTCCCTGACTTTAGATAGTATTTATATACAAGCCAGGATTCTAGTTTAAGCCCTGAGGTTGTCTATGACTTTGATCTCACAACTGAGAGAAGACAGTTCCTATAGAAATCTGCATATCCTAGAAGTAGGTGTAGAATGTCTCTCATCACTAGTTATTGATCTCTAAGAATGCTTCTACTTCTGTCTACACTGGCTCCAGGGCCTCCTGGAGGCCCTCTTTCTTATACTTGCCTTGGTTTCTGTCTTCTCAGTTCAGCTTATATCTGAGCCACCATGAGCATTCCAGACTGAGCTTTGACAGGTGTGTTTCTGCGGTTCACTTCTAGCCAGAGGTGTCTGACATCCAAGGAAACTCAGCATGCTGGCCCTTCATTTTAGTTCAGATTTTTCTTAGCCAAACTAAGTTGCATATCTGAGATCAAAGGTTTCCAAATTCTCTGGCTCACCTTAAAACTGAGGGTGGAAAGAATAGTGAGACAGCAAGATGTGTGATCACTGCCTAAGTAGAGCTAGGTAGCATTCTTCTGTTCAGTGCGCTAGTTTGATTTTAACAGAGCACTTTAGGTAAATAGTAGTCCACACTGACTATTGTAGGAAAGAACCTAGCATTTAAGTATCAAGATTGGAAGTGCCTCCCTTGATTTGTTGCTATTTTGTTTGCATTAGGACTTAGTATGGTGTGGGAGAAAGGCCACTTACTAGTCATTACTACATTACTGTAATGAAGTAGCAGTCTTACGAAATAAGACTGCTTTAGATCACATTTCTGGAGGCTCATGACCTTGGCACTGACAATGGCTTCATGGTGATTTGTACCACAGTGGTAGGTATGCATGTGAAGGTGACATACTGGTATGCATGTGGAGGGGACACATTATTTTGCCAGATGAGAAGCTAGGGAGCCATTAAAGGTTCAGGCTGAGACATGCACAACAATTTGCTCCTGGGAAAATTACTGTAGAATCCCATGGAAACTCCTTTAAATTACTGGAGCACATGTTCTCAGTGACCCAACATCCACATACTAGAACCCAATTTTAAAAGGCTGCATCTCAAACAAGTTGGTGATGAGTTGAATATAGGAACCCTTGAAGTGCAGACACAAAGCATCTATCTGCAAGTATAACAACTGATAATGTAGATCTCAAGACTCATAGATGATAAACCTGCGTTTTCTCTTCTCAATGCTTCTGCATTCTTTATGAGATGTGTGTTTAAAATATTGGCTGGGTAGAATATTTGCTGAGGTATTTTTTAGTTTTCTGTTCATGTGAAGAGACACCATGACTAAGACAACATAGAACAAAGAATTTATTGAGGCTTACCGTTTCAGAGGGTAAGTCCATTGCCCATGGTGGGGGGAGCACTACAGTGTCAGGCAGGCTTGGTGCTGAAGCAGTAGCCAGGAGCTTACATGCTGAGGCAACAACCTCAAGTCAGGGAGCTAGCTAGCTGGGAATGACATGGGCTTTTGAAACCTCAAATCCCATCCCCCAGTAACACACCTTCTCCAATAAGACCACGCCTCCTAATTGCTCACCAACAGTTCCATCAACTGGGACCAAGCATCCTAACAGTAATGTGTGGGGAACAGTCTCATTCAAACCAACATCGGTACTATGTAGCTATAGAGAATGTTACTGCTGGTCTATCAAATTGGAAAAGATAATTTTCACAAAGATGATCAACATAGAAACCTATTCTAACATGAAATCGTGTGTGTGTGTGTGTGTGTGTGTGTGTGTGTGTGTGTGTGTGTGTGTAGAGAGAGGGAGAGAGAGAGGTTCTAAAAATGAGGAATGAGAATAAAGTAAGTAATAGAAATAGATAAGGGAATTTATGGTGGAAATCACGTTTCTCATTTAATTTGCTTCATATTATTGATTTAAGTCCTATTGACTCTAGTCACAAACATTTGTTTCCAAAATTAAGTTGTATGTAAGTATTATAATGTATTATTATTAGTCTAATTGAAATTGAAAATCCTTTTGGTCTAACACAACTTTTAAAAACTATAGTTTCATATTCAGAATAGTTAAATAACCTGGGTTTCCTTTATGTTTTAGGATTTAAGTGCCCGGTATGCTCAAAATTTGTACCCTCAGATGAAATGGATTTGCATCTTGTGATGTGTTTAACAAAGCCAAGAATAACGTATAATGGTAAGTTCACTGCCTTAAGATAACATTTCAATTTAGCATTACCCTAAATAATGTGAATTTCATGTTTGAAACAAAATTTAAATGGCAGCAAGGACTCAAATTCTCATCTTCAGATTCGTTATATGTGTAAAAAACAATCTATTAATTAGGTTATATCTATTGGTAAGTGAAATTATATTTTCTAAGACATCTAATGGCAAAGTAGCATTATCTTGTATTTTTTTAACCCTTATTATCTGACTTAATGACAAAGAATTATGAAAACTCTTCTACGTAAGAGGACACATCAGATGTCCTGCAGAATCCCCTGGTACATAGAGAGTGAGAGTGAAAAGGGGAATGATGTTACCAGAACAATAGGTTTAGCTGGGTGATTGGTGGTGACGCGCACACCTTTAATTCCAGCCCTGGGGAAGCAGAGGCTGGCAGTTCTCTGAGCTTGAGGCCCTCCTAGGTCTACAGAGTTAGTTCTGGGATGGTCAAGACCTCCTCACTTCCTGACTCTAGATTGTTGGATTACACTTTGAGAACTGTTGTGCTGACCAAAGTCTTTTAGGTTAGGCCTTAAAAAATGTTTGTGATCACTGTGTTTAAAAAAATATGTGTTTAAGAACATATAATAAGTGAGGGATGAAGGGGGATCTTCATGGTTGAGAACATTGTTGCTTTTCCAGAGAACCGGGGTTCAATTTCCAGCACTCAGATGATGGCTCACAACTCTGTGTAACTCCATTTCCGAGGGACCTGACACCCTCTTTACATGTGGTGCACATACATACATACATACAGGCAAAGCGCCTACATGTATAAAGTAAATAACTCTTAAACAAATCTATGATAAGTTATAAACTGTTAAGAATGGGCACAAAGCTTTTTCATGGATTTAGTAGATGGACGGCTAACGGTAGAAAATAAATCCAGGAAACGGAGACTCACAGATGGGTTTCACTCTTGCAATAACTGCCAGTTACTTTGGGCCTGGTACATTGAACTAGGGTATTCTATCTTGACCCTAGTCATACAGTATTCAGTGTCATCACAGAACAATTGGAATAAATTTGGGAACTAAAAATCAAATAGTTCCTTCTTGTCTAATAAGACAGTTGGATTTTGTGGTACTATAACTGAGACTGAAGCCAGCCTGGGCTATTTATATATTAAGATTCTGGGTTTTTTCTTGTTTTTACTTTTACTTAATAAAATAATATTTATTAAATTTTTTTGAGGCGGGGTTTCTCTGTAGAGCTGGCTATCCTGGAACTTGCTCTGTAGCCCAGGCTGGCCTTGAATTCACAGAGATCCACCTGCATCTGCCTCTCAAGTTCTGAGATTAAAGGTGTGGGCCACCACTGTCCGGCTAAGATCCTGTCTTTAATGTAAAGAAATAAGAAGATGAGGAACTTAGCTACAGTAATGCCATTAAGAAAAAGAAGAAAAGACATTTGAAGCTGGAAAAAAAAATTCCAAATGTAAAAATTAAGTTTGAAATAAAGTGAGTGGCAAAAGTCCTAGTAACAAACTAAGTTCAGCAGCTGTCTTTTGTGTCCTTATCTAAGACACTACGCTAAGTATGGAGGTGAAGTGACTCCGACAAGTAGAACTTAGGGCCTACCAAGAGTAATGAGGGTGCACCCCCTCAGCTAACTGCTGGCTGCTTTGGAATACTCCTCAACATAGTGTCGCCAGCTGCAGTATTTCAGTGGCAACAAGGCATTTCTTTCCCTTCATTTACCAGTGTGTAAGCAGGAATTGTTTCTAGCAAGTATTTTGAATATCAGATGTATGTGTTGGTTAGACCCTGACCTTTTTGCCTTATAAAATTGTCGTCTTTACATAATCGAAAAGCATAATATATTTGTATAAAGTCTCAGTATTTTGTACATTTAATTTTTGCATATCCAGAACATAATATATGCTGTGATTCAACTGCTTTTTATTTCCTGAGTTAATTATTTAAGTTATTAAACTTAGTCTGCTAGATTGTCTCAGAGTGTGAGGAAATGCAGTGGGCTCTTGTCTTGCTGAGTGTTAAGCCAGTGAGTACAGTGGAAGATAAGAGACTGGAGAGAGGCTTGTAACTTGGAGCAAAGTAAGGAGAGTACTAGGTTATTCTCAAAGCAGTGCTCTTGGAAGGTGGGGTCTTCTGCGCCGCAGACTGTTTAGTATGATAAGGTACAAGGTTTACTGTAGGTTGCCTGAAAGAATGAGTCAAATTGACTCTGTGACCTTAATGAGACCTCCAAATTTCCCTGGAGAGTTCTAACCAAAACAAAAAGAAACCCAAAACAAAGTAATTTGAAAGACATATTAGAAGTCTTTTTAAAAAACATACCACACAGACAGACAGACAGACAGACAGACAGACAGACATGTATGCGCACACTACTGTGCATGGAAGCAAGGTTAAAGCCATTCTGAAAACTAGGCAAGAAGCAAAGTTTTCATAAACTTTATGTCCTTTTAATTTTAAAACTAGCCTCTGGGCCGCGGTGATGACGAAGAAAGGATCTGTGACTGTATTGATCTAGGGGTTATGGAAATGTGTGGCACACAACAGGCCTCCCTGTCTTGGACATGGGGAATTGTAACTGCTTTAAAGCAAAGGCCCAGAAGACCACTTAGGTGAGTCTGTTTGGAGGTGGCCTTGTAAATGCCTAAGCAAAGCATTTTTATATTATGTTATCATAAAGTTTAGAGCAGGTGAGTCAGAGACTCTGAGGCTGAATCTTCTGGTCACATGACTCTATAGTTTCATATTTGAATTCCTAAATGTTGACACCAGCTCAGCTGGCTTTGTGTGAGTCATGTTAATGCTCAAACAAAAATTGTCTTTCAATATACTTAGTAATTGTATCTTATTCAGTCTTTCAGAGTAGCTAGGTCTGAAAATTTGAAATTTATTTGTGAAGTATATATTAACTTATCTACAACAATTCACAGAATAGTCAGGCTTATTTTCACACAGCTGTATTTATAGAGGAACTCTGGGAGAGGGTGAGTTCCAGACATGTGAATGTGTGCTGATGACAGCCTGAGAAACATCCCACAGAGATGAGACACTCTGCATCCTCCTAGGAGGAACCGGCTCTGTCAGCATGTGTTTGGATCCAAAGAAAAGTGTCCTTGGTGTCTAGGTTACTCCTACTCTTGGAGTAAGAATGACAGTTCTCCATACAGCAGCTGTGACACACGAGAGAGAGAGAGAGAGAGAGAGAGAGAGAGAGAGAGAGAGAGAGAGACAGAGACAGAGAGAGAGACAGAGAGAGAGACAGAGAGAGAGACAGAGAGAGAGACAGAGAGACACAGAGACAGAAAGCCGACTTGACAGATTAGTTTTTGACCCATGGCCATGATGCTTTGGTCCCGTGGCTTTGGCCCTTGGAAGGTAGAACTGTGTGATAGAAAAGATAGATTCCTGTTTCCTGGTGGCCAGGAAACAGAGAATAAAAGAGAGGATGTGGCGGTGGTTCTATTACACTTTTTGAAGGTGTGCCCAACAATGACCCCCTTCTCACCTGCTGTAGCACCACAGTGTGGGCACACAGCTGTAGGACAGAATGAGATCTAATACTGACTTAGTGAGTCTTGATTTTGTGGGTATGTATCATCTACAAGTGAATTGTTACCAAGAGCTTCTGTAGGTTTTATTTCTAGGCTTACTGAATTACTCATAAGCTTACTGTAGGGATATCTGTGACACTATGGGGCATGTTGCCTTTTCCTAATTAGCATTAACCTGCTGAGTGGATGCTGCCTTTGAACTTGAGTAATGTATATGTAATTTTCTTCTCTTTTAAAACAAAAGGCAGCTTAATTTATTTGTTTATTTTTGAAACAGAATCTGTAGCCCGCCTGCTTCAAACTTAACAGATCTCTTGCCTTGGCCTCCGCAAGTGCTGAGGTTCTGGGTTTTTTTTTCCTCTGTCTCTCTCTCTCTCTCTCTCTCTCTCTCTCTCTCTCTCTCTCTCTCTCTCTCTCCCTCTCTCTTTCTCCCCTTCCTTCCTTCCTTCCTTCCTTCCTTCCTTCCTTCCTTCCTTCCTTCCTTCCTTCCTTGTCGTTAGATTGTGTTGGTAGGTTTTTTGAATAGTCTAATTAAATTGTACTGATTTCTTATGTTGCTGGATTTTTTTCATCTCAATCATGGAATATTTAAAAAACTTTGCTACTGCGGTTACACAAAAGCAAAGATTATAAGTTGGAAACTCTTCCTTTGCTCTGAAATTGTCTCATTTAGGAAGCCCTGGTCTCTCCATCACTAGCTATAGCAGCACTGTGAAACCATTTACTCTTTTAAAGACACGTGACTGACAGTTTCATCAGTGAGGTCCTTATCATTTCCCAGTGCATTTTGGGAATTCTGTTTGAAAATAATCCTTTTTTATAACTGAGTGTGGTGTAATGGGCTCCAGGGAAGAGCAGGAGAAGCAGGATTTCAGACTAACCTGAGCTACGAGACCCTCTTTCAACCACCCAAAATAATAAGTAATAATATTTTCCTCTGTATTTTATATTTCATAATTATAACAGTTACATGATTTTTTCCTCATTAAATTATATTTTTTCATTGTAATATATGTTTTTGTACTTGTGCTTTAGACAAGCTAAAGTATTGATATTGTCAAAAGACTAGTTTTAAGTTAATCTAAAATTTATTAATGCTAAGTACCAAATAGCTTATTTCTTTTCATTTTCTATATTTTAATGCAAACATTTTAAGAATAACATTTCAGCCAGGCAGTGATGGCTCATGCCCTTAATCCCAGCACTTGGGAGGCAGAGGCAGGCGGATTTCTGAGTTCGAGGCTAGCCTGGTCTACATAGTGAGTTCCAGAACAGCCAGGGCTACACAGAGAAACCCTGTCTCGGAAAAAAAAAAACAAAACAAAAAAACAAACAAACAAAAAAGAATAACATTTCAGTACCCCTTTACCAAGTTAATACACTTTATTCCTTTTACTAATTTCAGAGATAGATTTGGTAGATTTGGTAGAGAGTTGCTT